CACGACCAGGATTGCGAAGCAGAGGCCTTGATTAAGATGCTCTTCGTACCCAACCTCTCCTACAAGGACACTTGGATCTTGAACTTGTCAAGAAGAACTTAGTTCATTCCCCCCCCAGCTCGTTCGAAGCACGTGAAACGGCGCATGTCAAGAACAGGCCTCGTTGCCTCGCTAGAGAATCCTGCGCAACCCAGGACTGCCGCAACTTGGATGAGAAGGAGATTGCGCGGGTGATCGCAGACAAGTTGCTAAAGAAGAAGAGCCTCGCCATGAGAAGTTCGTTGTCCTTGCAAGGATCCTTAAACCCTATAGGCAGGAAGGAGACGGGTCTTCAAACAAACAGTAAATACTGTGCAGGTACGTCTTACCTGCAGGCCCCGCACCATGTCGCAAGCAGAGCCATGCCAAGGAAAGGCTCGGGACACGGAGGAGGAGGAGGAGGAGGCTCGCTGGATCTCGGGGGAGGGGGGGGGGTGGGGAAAATAGGAGAAAGAGGGTTCCTGAGCCAGACCCCTTACTCCCCACTTAGGACCCTAATTCAGTTTTTCAACTTAGTCTTCTGTATCGTTATCACGTTTTGTTGTCATCTTATTCATTATTTTTCAGTCAAAAGGGGGTTCTCGTTTGAACTAGGCACCTCCCCCCATTATTTTATGCTATTTTATGTTATAAGCTTAGGCATAAGTTCCCTACCGTATTCTGTTTATGCCCTTCCTATTTTTTGGGGGAGGGTGGGAACCACACCACAAGGGTTGCAGGGTGCAGGGCACAGGGTTTCGTCGGGTTTTGGGGTGAATGGGCTCTGCCAGGATACATTCAGCACTGAACGTCGCTTGACCACTCCGCCTCTCGCCCTGCACAGCAATGCGCCCCGCTAGTAGGGAGTTCGGTGTTGCAGGTAACCCTTCGCCGCGAGCCCCGGGCAACAGCAATAGCAATAATAAGCACCGTTAGAATGAATTAGTGTCTGCAACACTGACGTCAAGTTTATACAACTGTGAAGACAAGCTCGCAGGGAGGTTACTGCAACGAGGGCAGAGCTGCAGATGCTGAAGAGACGCAGCGCAGAAGCAGGTGATTCGGCTTTACCCGAGCCACCTTGAAACCAACCTTTTTCAGTACGAAGTACGCACGAGTTGAGTCTACAGCCCATTTGGATAATGGAACCACACCTAAACCCCGTTGAACCCTCAATGGCCTGACTGCGCTTTCGGGCAGCCTTGGTTTTTCCTGTACGTAGGCCGGGCGCTGCGCAGTTTGCAGGCTGGTTGTTTTGGGTTTTTGTAGGGGGGTTTGGATCTCAACAGCAATAAGGGACGGCGTCTAGGATGTGGGGACTTAAGAGCTCGGCCAGTAGGGTTTCAATTAGGGCATCCCCACATAGACTGTCTTCCATTCGAGCTCTACCTAAGTCCTACTTAGAAGTCTCCTTGATTATGGTCCCTTTGGCAGCATTTTTCCCTGGCCTTAGCATCTACGTACTTTGCTGTGAAGATTGATCGAACAGATAGCTCACACAGCCGACTTGATCCATGTGGCTCTTGCGTACTCTTTGGGTTTGTTACATTTTTGGGGCTGGGGCAACTGTCTGCAATCGAAACCCAAATGGGCTGAGAGAGACGCACTCAACATGTGATTTTCCGCGGGTGAAACCCCTCAGTGTCGATGCGACGAGGTTGCTCAGACCCTCCCTTGCTTGCCAGAAGCTTCGTTGGAAGCTGGCCTGAAGGATCTCGATCCAAAATCACAAGAGGCTGAATACCCAACGAAATCGTCGGAGTCGGGGAGAAGGAGCTGCAGAAGTGATGGAGATTCCTTGGGTTGACGGCTGCCGTGGTGCAAAGTGCGCCGCCCAGGAGAGTTCAGTGCCTCGTGCCTAACAATGACAGGGAGCTTCGTACTGCCAACCGGAGTCCAGGGTTTTGCGGCTCTGTGGTCGAGACGGCAAGAACTATACGGAAAGTTCCATGGCGAGGATGGCTCATCGTGCTTCGGAGCAAGTTTCTGGATCTTTTTCGGCACTGGCAGTTGCAATGTATGGAGAAGCCTTCTAAGGCACAGTGTTTTCATGGTCGTCTGGCCAGCCTCTTGCCAGAACGATGATTTTCTACACACTTGCTCAGAACTCCAATTTTTGAGCGATTTTACTTTGGTTGCCCTTGTACTTTTCATTCCATTCCCTCTACAAGCCGTGGCTGTTGACGACTGGCTACAGCCGTAAAGCCTGAACTCCAGCGTCGCCGTTTGCCAACTCCTTTGCATGCAGGGTTTAAGGTTTAGGGCAGCCTTTTATCTTGACCCTAAGCGCCGAAACCCTTCAACGCCGGCGCCCAAAATCATGAACCCCTGAATGCAAATCTCTATGCCCCAGAGCTTTGTGAAGCTGCCTTAACTTCAGACATCTTGGAACTCTCTGTCTCCCCCGGCAGCACGCTAAATTATGCTCTTTCCATTTTGGGGCCTCTGTGTTGGGAATGAGCAATCGGGAAAGTACCCGCATTCAGAGGATCTTGGGAAACCCTCCGTAAATTCGAGTACTAGCGGCGCGTAGCTTCTAGAGACATCTATCGGTTCAGATTCCGGCTGCAGCCTGGGGTTCAGGGATGCGGGATTGAGGTGTAGCGGTTTAGGGTTTAGGGGTTTCAAGGTTCCGTGAAACTCGAACTTCAGGCGTTCAAAGCTAACCGGCTAACCCTAAACTCTAAACCCTGAACCCTTTAGGCCCTAAGCCCCAAAAACCCTAAAACTTCTCAACAACGATTCGCCAAACCCTACTGCCTAACTAAACCCCAAACCCGAAAACCCTAGTCCTTTACCCCTGGAGCCATGCTGCTTCCCTGGCGGACGGCGCTGCTGCTGCTCGCTCCCCTGGCATCTGCGCTGCGCGATTTGGGGCCCAAGGATCGCCGCTTGGAGAAGGCGCGGAGCCCCTGCGCCAGGCGTTGCCCTTAAGGCTCTAAGGGTTTAGGGTTTTAGGGTTTAGGGTTTGGGGTTCAGGGTTTTAAGGTTCAAGGTTCAGGGTTTCAGGGTTTAGGGTTCAGGGTTTTAGAGTTTAGGGTTTAGGTTTCGGGAATCAGGGTTTAGGGTGTAGGGTGAAGAGGGTGCAGTACCTCCTAGCACGGACCCTGGGTTCGTAGTTTCATCTATGTTTGAGGGCTCAGGAGCCTTAGGGTGGCATGTAATGGCAGTAGAGGCAGTTGCATACGTGCCGGTGCAGGCAGTGCAAGTGCCAGCCAGCAGTAGTAGATATGTCCCGGGACGGTCAGCGAAATGGCACGAGTACATGTCAGAGCGAGTCGGTTCAGGGTTAAGGGGTGAAAGGACACCGTCCGCGATGAGGTTTCTCACGTTGCTCGGTAGTGCCCCTTTGGTTTCTTGGTCTTGGCGCAGGTTCCTCAGTCGAAACAGCCAGCAGAAGCTGGAGAACCTGCTAACCCGAGATGCTTTGCCCAAAGCTCCGACCTGTAACCTGCAGAAATCCTTTCGATCAGTGAGGGTACATAAGCCCTTGCCTGCCGAGAGGACCCCAGACCGTAAACCCTCGACCTTGAACCCGAAACCCTAAACCCTCAATCCTGAACCCCAAACCCTCAACCCTTAACCCTAAACCCTCAACCCTCAACCCTCAACCCTGAACCTGAAACCCTAAACCCGAAACCCTAAACAGCCTTCATTCTAGACCCATACCAAAGGTGAATGGGTCCAAGATGGCGTCCACGGTCGTGCCTCGGCCTACCAAGCTTCGGAGGATGGGTTCTTGGGGATTTAGGGCTTGGGGTCTGAGGGGTAGGGGTTTAGGGTTTAGGGTTTGGGTGTAGGTTATTTTGACTTTCCCTCTCCGCTTCGGCGGCCCGTTAGTGCAGCAAGCCACCCTTCGGGGCGTAGGTCACTGCACTGTAAAGCACACGCACACACGTTTAGGTTATTTTGGGTTTTTCGGGTGTTTATACGGGCGTTATTTTGGACGAAGGAAATGCCGGGGTCCCGAAATGCAAGCACCAGGCGGTTTAGGGTTTAGGGTTTAGGCGGTCTTTGGGAGTTTAGGGATGTTTAGGGTTTAGGGGTTCAGGGTTTAAAGGGCAGGGCTTAGAGGGTTCAGGCTTGTTGTTCATGATTCTTCAGTCAATAGCTGTCCATCCAGGCCTTGACCCTGATACTTGGAGGTTCATGGGTAGTTATAAGTGGGGTTATGAGTAAGGTAACTATATTTATAACCCATATTAGGGGACTCATAACCCTACTTATAACTACCCATGAACCTCCCAGTAACGTTCTGCAAAGCTGGTCCCCGCACCAAGGATTGGGGCGACTGACTGCAGCAGCAGACCTTAGCATGATAGGGTTTGGGGTTTAGGGTTTAGGGTTCCCAAACCGACCCAGTTGGCCTTCTGAGCCGCAGCCCGGGCCCTCCCGTGGAGTTCGAAGCTGGCGGCTGCAGCCATGAATGCAC